TTTAGAAAGGCCTGCAGTGACAGGACGAGGGGCAATGGCTTCAAGCTGGAGGGGAACAGATTTAGACTGGAGATGAGGAGAGGGTTCTTCACTGTGAGGGTGGTGGAGCACTGGAACAGGTTGCCCAGGGAGGTGATTGAGGCCCCTTCCCTGGAGATATTCAAGGTGAGGCTCCACGAGGCCCTGGGCAACCTGGTCTAGTTGGGGGTGTCCCTGCTGACTGCGGGGGGGTCGGACTAGATGGCCTTTGGAGGTCCCTTCCGGCCTGGGCAATTCTATGAGTCTATGATTCTGTGATTATTGACTATCCCGAATGGCCCAAGCCAAACCACGTGGTGCCCGGAGCCGGGATCCCCGCTCTCACCATCCCTCCTTGTCCCCCTTCTGCAGGTCGGGCAGGATGAGACCCCGCGACGCCTGGTGCTGGGTGGCCGTGCTGCTCCTTGCCATCTTCAGCGACGTGGCCGGTAGCCGCCGTGGAAGCAGTGGGAGAAGCGGCGGGCGAGGAGGAGGAGGAGGAGGCGGTGGTGGCGGTGGTGGTGGCGGTGGGGGCTTTCGGGCCACCTCCCGTGGCTCTGGCACCCCTGGCCGTGGCTCGAAGGTGGCGGGGGCCATTGCGGCCGGCGCTGCTGCGGGGTACGGCATGGGGGTTTTGGGGCGCACGCGGCCGTCCCGGCTGGGTCACGGCGTCCCGGCGGCCTGGCAGCCCCCGCCGGTGGGTGGCTTTCACGCCCCAAGTTGGCTGGACATGGGTGTCAAGCGGGGACCCCCCAGCCGAGCCCCTGGGGACCCGCGTGGTGGCATCGGCCCCGCTTTGCTGCTGGGCCCCGCCATCTGCTTCTTCAACCACGGGCTGCAGCGCTGAGCACGGGGAGGGGACCCCCGGTGACCCCCCCCGGCCGGCTGAGCCCACTGGGATTTCTTAGTGGATGACTTTCCTGGGAGATTAGATGTGGCTTGGGGAGGGGGAAGAGATGCTCCGTGGCTGCCTCAGTTTCCCCCCCCACCGATGTGATGGGACCCTGGACCAGCAGCTGGAGGTGGGCAACCATCCCCGTGTCCGTGGGGGCCACCCGGGAGCCAGCCTCATCCTGCCACCCCCCGTCTGCAGAGAGCACGTAGGTGGGCAAATCCAGCCCCCAAGGACCTGTGGGCACCTGCACCCGGAGAGATGCTGGATCCACCCCATCAGTGCCCAGTTCCTGTTTCCCATTGCATGGCTTTACCAAAAAACGCTCTTTTCCCCCCAAGAAGAGTGCTGAGACTCCATGGGGAGGGGTTGTGGGGCTTGAAGATGGACCTCTCCGCCTTTCAATAAAGCTTGGCCTTGAGACATTGTCTCTTTTTTCTTTTTTCAACCAAATCCAGTGTATTTAGCGCCCGTCTCAACCTGAGGAAGAACCACATCCCCGAGGGATGCTGCAGGGGCAAGAACGATGCTTGGGGACAAACTGCCCCCATGTCCCATCTCTCTGGCTTTAACATGATCAACCACTTCCCAATCTTTAGCATCCCCAGCCCAAAACACACCTGGCTGTGGGACTGACCCTCCCGCAGCTGCTTCGTGTTTGGCAGGGGGGATGGAAATCCTCCCTGGGAAGAGCGTAAAAGGAGCAGTGAGGGACGAGTTTCCTTCCAGCATCGGCGTTTTCTTCTCTAGTCCATGTTTTGGGTGGCCAAACCTTCCCTAAAACCCAGGTCAGCTGCAGCAGCTGGCAGTAAAGAAAGTAAAGAGGCACCAAGTGAAATATTAAGGATCTCCCAAAAAAAACCTGAGGGCAGCTGCAATCACCGTCCTCCAGCAGCTGAGTCCTTTGCTGAAGCATTTTTGAGCCTGGTTGTCTGTCGGTGAGTTGTTTCCCTTTGGAATAAGTGGGGTTTTGGGGGGATATAAATATCCTTATCACCTCCCCAGGAGGGCTGTTGAGTCAGGTCTTGCTTCTGTCATGGGGTAGAAGGAGCCCTGGCTGATGTACGTTGATTTTCTGGGCTCTTTTACAATAATTACTTAAATTTTACCGAGCTCATTTGGCTCCTGAGGGATTTAATAGTGTTTTGGAGCAGGTGGGCACGGGATGCTCCTCCAGCTCGGGGACAGCTTTGAGGTTGAACAAATGCAACTACTCCTATAACACAAAGCAAGGAGTTCTTTCTTTTTAATGCTCTTGCTTAAAACAACCAACAAACCCGGCAGAAACTCCACCCGCGGCTCAAATTTACATTTTTCCAGCATATATTTTGCATCCAGACCTGTTTTGATGTCTGGACCATGTCACGAGCATCCTCCGCTCCCGGCCCTGATTTGCATCCTGAGCTCCTGAAGGGATGATCCCGCCCGTCCCACATCGCATTCCCAAATTTTCCCTATGCATTTCCCCCCTCCCGCTGGAGTGCAGTACAAGGAGACACGCTCTGATCCCCCCCCCCCCCCCCTTCTTCTCCCACCCCCCCCAGAGGGCGCGCCC